CCACGTCGTGAAATGAAGTGCACTTGACGTGAGTGACCATAACATATTTAGTTTGAAGCCAAAGTTTTACAGTAGACCCAGTGCGAAGTAGAAGGCCATAAAAATCCTGCGCTTGTGCGCCTTTTCTGCGCGACCTGGCTCCTTATCTATATCCGCGCGTCCCACCCAAGATAAGTTAGGACTTCTATTTTAGAGGATAGTTTATTCCACTACGGTGTCTTTGCTCAATACGCATTCAAATATGCGCAGATCTAGCGCGAAACCAGATTCGTGGCGCACGCCAGATTGAGTGGACTACTGACAGACGTGCTAGGTTTATGCCGATCCTACTACGCTTATCCTCGGAAAATTCCACCTCTCAAGAGATCCCCCAACCGCCATCCAACTGTACAGAACATCGGTCGGTCACCGTCAAGAGCATGTCTCGGTCGCATTCCACTTGAATGGCTGCTGGTACATAAACGAGACTAGTGAGTGAAGGAAAACAGGAACTACTTCGAGGTCGCGACCGCTTCGACCTCCAAAAGTCTCCTATACATGTTTTCCTTGTCGAGCTAACCGCCCTGGGGTCGGCAAAATGCTTTTAGGCTTCTAGGCGCTATCCGTCAAGCGAATCCGGTCCTCCCATACTCATTAACATATGAACACACTGCGGGACATCGAACACGCATTGCTTATGCAAGGACAAGAACGAATGGAAGAGAAAGTGGGGCCATAAAGGCGTCACCGCGGCTCACCTCAGCACCCTGAGTCCAACCAATATTGCTGTAGATGAAATTCGCATAGGTGCCATTGTCCGTGATGAAAAGGGCAGCTTGGAATGTGTTTGTGTTCTGAAAATAACAGCTTTGAATTCTCCAAAAATACAAAAAAAACGCCAAAATCTGGCTTTCCCCTCAGAAATATTTGTGGCCCACTTCTTCAGGTAAAGCGGCGGTTCCTTCTAATGGTTGCATTTTCTCCCATGTGACAACCACAGCTGACTTGACGACCACCGACCGGTCGTACTGGTACCGGATTTCGCTTTGGCCGCGTTCCAACACCCGTCCTTCTAAAAAGACTGCTTTGAAACCTGTTCGGGTGCAACCGTTGGTCTCGAATGTAAGAGTACTCACTGGTGATTTCTCGGTAATAGACGTGACCACCTTTCCGAAGATCGTTTCTGTTCCAAAACGGCGCAATCATTCTTGCACCGCTCGGGAATAGACCGGCTTTGTATGCGCGAGCGTTGGCCTCGAATCCGATTGCACCATTCGAAAGCACCTAAACGTACCAGCGTTTAACCAATACGAAATGGCCCTAGGAAAGTCTCGAAGCTCACATAAAGTGTGTTGTAGTCTTCTCCATAAAAGTTAAGAGGGTTCGTCAGCTGGACTTTCTTCCCGACGTCAAGCGCTTGAGGTACTTC